GATTTTGATACGTTCACCTGTGCACGTCTGGTGAGGGGTGGGGAAGAAGGGAGGAAATTTTTGAAGGAAGGAAGAGAAAAAAGGAGGAAGGAAGAGGGAAGAAGAGGAAGGTAATGGGGGTGGGAGAAGGAGGGTGGAAGGGAGAAATGGCAGGGGGGGGTTAAGGAAAATGGGTTGGGTTGAGAGAGGAGAGAGAGAGAGAGAGAGAGAGAGAGAGAGAGAGAGAGAGAGAGAGAGAGAGAGAGAGAGAGAAGAGAGAGAGAGAGAGGATGGATATGCGATAGAAAGAAAGAAATGGAGAAGAGGAATTACTGAGAAAAGCAGAGAAGCAAATGTATAGTGGTAACGGAGAGATGGAAAATCGAATAAAGGAGGGGAGAGGGAAAGCACAAATGTAGAGGAATTGAAGAAACAAACGAAAATTGAAAGAAACACACACACACACACACACACACACACACACACACACACACACACACACACACACACACACACACACACACACACACACACACACACACACACACACCCACACAGAAGAAAAAAACCCGTCAACACAGACAGACAGACAGACACAAATGTCCAGAGGGCGCAGGACATAAGCCGCGGCAGGTAAAACAGGCGGCGGAAAAAGCTACGGGGGGGAATAATATTAGCCGCTCATCCTATGCCATAGCTCGCCCATTGTCACTGTCATTGTCGCTGCCACTGTCACTGTCATGGGCCGATCTCGTCTCGACACTCGGTCTATTGTGCGCTTTTCCGCTAAGTCCAAGAGTAAGCGCTTTTTTGATCGACTCGCTGCACTCTGGCGTCACGGTGCGCCGGGTGAAGTGGGGTTTCTTCTTCTTCTCTTTTTTTCTCTTTCTTTCTTTTCTTTCTTTTCTCTTTCTTTCTTCTTTCCTTTGTCTTTCTTTCTTTTTGTCTTTCTCTTTCTCTTTCTCTTTCTCTTTTCTCTTTCTCTTTCTCTTTTCTTTCTCTTTCTCTCTCTCTCTCTCTCTCTCTCTCTTCTCTTCTCTCTCTCTCTCTCTCTCTCTCTCTCTCTCTCTCTCTCTCTCTCTCTCTCTCTCTCTCTCTCTCTCTCTCTCTCTCTCTCTCTCTCTCTCTTCTCTCTCCTCTCTCCCTCTCTCCCTCTCTCCTCTCTCCCGCTTCCCCCTCTCCCGCTTCCCCTCTCCCCCTTTCCCCTCTCCCTCCCTCTCCCCTCTCTCTCTTGTTTGTGTTGAGAGTGTATGTTTGTTTATTATTTTTTTCTCTTTTTGGTGTGTTTGCGTGCGTGTGTGTATATGTGTTCGTGCGTTCACGTTGGCGTCCGCGCCCGTGTCTCCCCGACCCCCGTTGCCAGTGTTGTCGAGAGCGGTCGGTCCGGGCGTGTTTTCCTTTGTGAATCAGAGAGGAGAGGGAGAGAGGGAGAGGGAGAAGAGGGAGAGGGAGAGGAGAGAGTGAGAGAGAGAGAGAGAGGGGGAGATGTGAGAGAGAGAGAGAGGGAGAGTGAGAGAGAGAGAGAGGGGGAGAGAGAGAGAAGAGAGAGAGAGAGGAGAGAGAGAGAGAGAGAGAGAGAGAGAGAGAGAGAGAGAGAGAGAGAGAGAGAGAGAGAGAGAGTGAGAAGAGAGTGTGTGTGTGTGTCTGAGCGAGGCGAGTGCCAGGTGCCACCGAGGGGGAAAGGGGAGGGGGAGGGGAGGGGGAAGGGGGGAGGGGGCTTTGAGACCGGTGGGTGGGGAAGGGAAGGGGAGGAGGGGGAGGAAGGGAGGGAGGGAGGGGGAGGGAAGGGAGGAGAGAGGGAGACCGAGGTGGCACGGTGGTGGGGGTGGGGGAGGGAAGGGAAGTGGGAAAGAAAGGAGGGAGGGAAGGGGGGGGGCTAGAGAGAGGGTGTGATCCACTCGTCTCTCTCTCTCTCTCTCGGGCTTTAGTGGCTCAGCGCCCGCACCTCGCCCGCCCGCCCGCTCGCCGCCCGCACGCCCAAGGCATTCCCGGCGGGCGGAGGCGATCCCAGGGCTTAGACGCTCGCGCACCTGTGTACACCTGCTCGGGGAGGGGAGAGGGGAGAGGGCTGGGCTACTGAGGGGATGGGATGGGAGGGAGGGGCGGGACTGAGGGGGAGGGATGGGAGGGAAGGGGAGGAAGGAAAGGAAGGGGAGGGAGGGAAGGGATGGAGGGGAGGTAGGGAGGTAGGAGGGAAGGGGAGGGAGGTAGGAAGGGAGGAAAGGGAGAGAGGGAGAAGGAAGGGAGGGGAAAGGGAGGGAGAGGGAGGAGGAGGAAGGAAGAGGAAGGAGGATGGAAGGAGGAAAGGGAGAGACGTTTAATTTATTAAAGGGAAGAAAGATGAGGGAAATGAGGTGGGGTAGGAATAGGGAGATGAAGGAAGCGAGAAAGGGGCGAAGGAAAAGAGGGAGGACGGAGTGGAGATGAGGAAAGGGAGGAAGAGGGAGGCGGAATAGGAACACGAGGAGACAGAGGACGATGATAGCGTCGCCAAACGATAAGGAAGAATGGAAGAGAAAGGAAGACGGGAGACGGAGAAGCGAGGAAGAAGGAGTAAAAAGGAGGGATGAGAGAGCAAGGGAAGGAAGGAAAGGGAAAGGACACAAAGTGCGAAGGGGAGGGACGGCGCGGAGGGAAGTGCCGGGGGAGGGTGGGGAGGGAGGAGGGAGGGGGGGGGTTCTTAGGTAAACTAGTTAGGTGGTGTTTCTTTCACTTCCCTCTTAAGAAGGTAAATAAATTTGTGGGAAAGATAACCGAAACCGCATCCAAGTGTCGAGGAGGGGGAGGGGAGGGAGGGAGGGAGGGAGGGGGGGAGGTAGGAGCGGGAGGGACGGGGGAGGGAGGAGTGGGAGGAGGAGGGGGAAGGGGGGAGGGAAGGAGGGGGAGGGGGGGGAGGGAGGAGGAGGGAGGGAGGGAGAGGAGGGAGGTAGAAAGATAGATATATGGGGGAGGGAAGGAGGGAGGAGAGAGAGAGAGAGAGTGGGAGGAATGGAGGGAAGAGTAAATATATATGAATACAAGAGGAGATGGAGAGGAAGGGAAGAGAGAAACAGACAGACAGAGAAGAGTGTGAGAGAAAGAAGAAAGAGAGAAAGAGAGGGAGAGCGAGAGCAGAGAGAGAGAGAGAGAGAGAGAGAGAGGAGAGAGAGAGAGAAGAGAGAGAGAGAGGAGAGAGAGAGAGAGAGAGAGAGAGAGAGAGGAGAGAGAGAGAGAGAGAGTGAGAGAAAGAAGAGAGGTAGAGAGAAAAGAGGGGGGGGGGGTAGCGAGCATCTCCGCCCGATTGTGCTTACCATCGCCGGGGGTAAGTGGCGGGGGTTCGTGGGGAGGCACCGGGGATGCTGCGGAGAGCGAGGGGGCAGGGAGGGGGAGGGGGAGGGAGGTGGGGAGCGTGGTTGCTTGCCACCTCAAGGCAGTGTTCCAAGCTGGCATGCGAGAGGCTGCGAGGTGCCCCGCGGCGGCGGCGGGCGGCGGCGGCGTCCCTCCGGCCTTCTGCCCTCCGTCCGTCCCCTTGTCCGTGGGGCAGGCCGTCCGTCAGTGGCCACGTCACGTGGCCAGGCGCGGACAGTGGGCCCTCCGTGTCTTTTTTGTTTATTTTTTGGGCTATCTCGCTCTCTATCATCGGGCGGGATCAGCGTTGCCGTCGGTAAGAGTGTTCACTAATGTATTTCTCGTCTTGTCTTTGCAGATGAGGAGATAACGGCGCGATAAGGCGGTATAAGGTAGTGCCTTCGCCTCCTCCTCCTTCCCCTCTCCTCTCTTCCTCCTCCTCCTCTCCTCCTCTCCTCTTCTCCTTCTCTCCTCCCACTCCCACCCCTGCTAAGTGCCTGGGAGCAGCGGCGAGGCGACCGCGGCCGCGACGCCTCAGCGAGGGCGCGAGGCAGCTCTTCCTCAGTGCTGGCTCGCCGCAGGCAGCGCCAGCGGCTGGGCGCCCGTGGCCGAGCGGGTACGAGTGCATGCAGGCGAGGGCATCGGGGGGCGGCGCGTGAGTGCCAGCACACAGTGGAGACGGCGAGGCGGCACCAGAGTGTCTAGTGTGCGCGCGAGGGTGCCAACAGGGGCGTCGGAGCTGCCCAGCGACCACTGGTGCCTCGAGCGTCGTTGGGGAATGCGCCCGCCGCGAGCCTGACCAGCTGTGCGAGCCTCCTCCGAGCTGCGCTTGCTGTGACGAGGCCACGGGAGGCGCAGACGCGGCCGCAGCAGGAAAGAGTATGGACGCCCTGCCGTTGCCCAGCGCGCCCCTCCGCCACGACCAGTGCTAGCGAACCCCCGCGGATATGGAAGAGAGGAAGAGAAAGAGAAAGAGGGGCATGTGATAAAGCTAATAGCAGAGAAAAGAACGACTAGCCATTGCCATTGTCTGCAAAGTGTACCGTACTGTGAGCGATCGTAGAATGTGGTAGGGTCAGAGTTTACGTCGCAGACACTCATTCAATTAACGAGACGTCGCCGGAGGTGAATGGACCATAGAAGGCTTTTATTTGGCCAGTTGAACGGCGGAGGCAAACGCGCTGGAAAATGCTCGGAATTGAGCCTGAAATTTAGTGCCCCTTCACGACCGTCCCTCGACTCCAGCTGGCCCCGTCTGCAGCACACAAGGAGCGCCTCTTTGTGTAGCTGCGCCCGTCGGTTCTGCTCGTGTGTTTCCTGCGCGGCCGCTTGCGCTACAGTGTGGCGGAGCCGAACTGAACCAGCTCGGTAACCAAGTGCAAAGTTTTTTGTCTGTGTTGTGTATGCGATAAGATAACGTAAGAGACAAAGCCGTCCACGCCAAAGTGATCAAATTCGACAGTGGAAAGTAAAAGTATTGGTAGATTGGTACATCCGGGACTCCCGTGGTCCGTCTCCCCCTCCCCCCCCGGCGGCCTGAGCCCCCACGGCCCGGCCTCCGCGAATCAGAGCCTCACGAGGAGCTCCCCTGGCGAGCGACCGGCCCGTCCTTCGGGAGGCGTCGCCGTCCCTGCCTTAACGACCCCGTGTCCCCTTTTGGCTTCGTCGGAAGGGCCGTGCGAGCCCCTCCCTCACCCCCGCGCCACTGCCATCGCGCCCGGGCTCTGCGTTGCCCGCCCGCAAACGACGCCCTCCCGCCCCCTCCTGCTGCAGCAGACAGACCCGTGAGCAGGCGAGCGAACGACGAACAGCCCGCGCCATGACGGCCCTCAACTCCCTGTTCTCGTTCACGTCCCCGGCGGTGAAGAAGCTGCTGGGGTGGAAGCAGGGCGACGAAGAGGAGAAGTGGGCCGAGAAGGCGGTCGACTCCCTCGTCAAGAAGCTGAAGAAGAAGAAGGGCGCCGTCGAGGAGCTGGAGCGCGCCCTCTCGTGCCCCGGACAGCAGTGCAAGTGCGTCACCATCCCCAGGAGCCTCGACGGACGACTCCAGGTAAGGGCCTCGCGCACGTTGTTGCTGTTGTTGTTGTTGTTGCTGTGGCTGTGGCTGTGGCTGTGGCTGTGGCTGTGGCTGTGGCTGTGGCTGTTGTTGTTGTTGTTGTTTGTTGTTTTCTGTTTGCTGTTGCTGTTGCTGTTGTTGTTGTTGTTGTTGTTGCATCATAAATGATCATTATGATGGTGGTTGTAATTATAATATGAAAACGATATTGATGATTATTGGAATGATGATAACGATTTTAATGATAAAGATAATGATCATAATAATGATGGTAAAAGCTAATTATTATTATTATTATTATTATTATCATTATTGTTATTATTATTATTTTATTATTAATTATATTATTATTATTATTATTATTATTATTATTATTATTATTATTATTATTAGTGTTATTGTTATTGTTATTATTGTTATTATTATTATTATTATTATTATTATTATTATTATTATTATTATTATTATTATTATTATTATTATTATTATTATTATTATTATCATTATTATTATCATTATTATTATTATTATTATTATTATTATTATTATTTTATTATCATTATCATTATTGTTATTGTTATTATTATTGGTATTATTATTATCATTATCATTATCATTATCATTATTGATGATGATATCAAAATTAAAAACAGCAACAGCAACAGTAACGATAATAATGATGATTATGATGATATTACTAATAGTAGTAATAAAAAATGAAAGAAAGCAAAGAACAAAAACAATTGAAAAAGAAAAAAATAACAATAATTGGCAATATTATTTTTCCATTGTTGTTGTTGTTTAATTTTACTTTTTTGTATTATTGTTAATATCATTTACGTTATCATTATCATTGTTATTGATGTTATGGTTATAATGATAACGGTCACGGTGTTTTATTTTTGTTGTTATTGTTGTTATTGATACAGTTATTAGTTTTGTTGTTTTTATTTTATGATGATTGGTTTGTTCAGGTATTTGTTCATTTGTTGTTATTTTTGGTTGTAACTTTTTGAGCATTTACCCAATTTGTCTTCTTAATTCTGCGTTTTATTTATTTGTGACTAATTTATGGGTGATTTATGATAATTACGCTTCTCGATTTAATCCCCAGAAATCTCACAGCAAAAAATATTTATTTGTTTATTTATTTGTTTATTTATTCATACATTCATTTTTGTACCTATTTATTTACCCAATTTTTATTCATACATTCATTTACCTATTTATTTACCCAATTTTTATTCATTGATTTACGTATTCCTTTCCTTGTTTATTTGCTTTTATTCATTTATTTACGGATTCCTCTCTTTGTTTATTTGCTTGTTTGTTTGTTTGTTTGTTTGTTTGCGAGAAAATCCAGGATTTCAGAAATCTGTAATTCAAGACCGGTTGAGATTACCTCGGATCTCAGGTATCGCAAAAATCGCTTTATTTCGCGCGTGTAGCGGCCCGGGTCTCGTGGATGTGTTGAGTGTAAGTGTCCGTGTGGGTTGGCTCCGTGTTGTTGTTGTGGTTGCGATGGGCTGTAGGGATGTCGGTGGTGGTGGTGGTGGTGGTGGTGGTGGTGGTGTTATTGTCATTGTTGTTGTTGCTTGTTATTGTTATTATTGTTGTTATTTTGTTATTGTTGTTGTTGTTATTATTGCTGTTATTATTGTTAGTATCATTGTTGTTGGTATTATGTTATTTTGTTGTTGTTGTTATTGTTATTATTGTTACTATTATTATTATTTGTTATTGTTGTTATCATTGTTGTTTGTCTTATTATCATTGATGTTGTCTTTTCTTTATTTTTTATTTATTCATTTATTTATTTATTTATTTATTTATTTATTTTATTTATTATTATTTTTTTTTTGCGGGGAGTCCACTCCATATTAAGTTTTGCTCTTGATGGAAACGAATGTTGTAATGAAAAATGGTGCTTCTCATGCGTCTGTGTATGATGTATAGGTGTGTATCTGAACCCCTTTTTTAGTCTGTTCTTTGGTATTGTAGTTTATTCGGATTTTAATTGTATTGTTATCATTAATGTTGTTGGTGGTGTAGTTACATTGTTGTTGTTGCTTGTTATTATTGTTCTTGTCGTCATTTTTGTTATTGTTGTTGCTGTTATTATTGTTCTTGTCGTCATTTTTGTTATTGTTGTTGGTATTATTATTGTTCATTTTGTTATTTGTTGCCATTATTATTGTTCTTGTCGTCATTTTTGTTATTGTTGTTGCTATTATTATTGTTCTCGTCGTAATTTTTTGTTATTGTTGTTGTTGGTTTAGTTACCATATCTGTTATCGTTATTGCTGTTGCTGTTGGAGTCCATCAGTTATTGTTCTCGTCGCCCTGTTTGGTTGTTCCAGTTTTCGTCGTTGTTCCAGTTTTCGTTGTTGTTCTTGTTGTTGCACCCGCGCCGGAAGGGAGGGGGGGAGCTGCGCGGCGGGCGTGGGCGGGTGGGAGCGAGGGCCGGTTCCGTACCCACGCGTCCTGCAGGAGGGGGTCGGGTCCCTGGCACGCGGAAAGGACGGGGATAGGGGGAGGTCGGGATGGCCTGCCTTGGGGGGTGAGGGGAAGGGGGGAGGGGGAGAAGGTGGAGGGGAAGGCGAGCGAGGAGGGCGGGATTCCTGGAGGAGGTTCGGGGAGGGGGGAAGGGAGGAGGGGAAGGGGGAGGGGAGGGGGGGGAAAAGGTGGAGGGGGAGGGAGAAGGTGGAAGGGAAAGGGGACACGGTGGAGGGGAATGGGGAGGGGGAAGGGGGAGAAGGTGGAGGGGGAGGCGAGCAAGGAAGGCGGGATTCCTGCAGAAGGTTCGGGGAGGGGGGGGGGGGGGGGAGGTGGAGGGGAAGGAGGAGGATGGAGAGAGGGGAAGGGTTGAGGGGAGGAAGTGGAAGAGGAGGGTGAGGGGAAAGGTTAAGGTGGAGATGGAAATCGAGGCCAGGTGGAGTTGGAAGAAGAAGAAGAAGAAGAAGAAGAAGAAGAAGAAGAAGAAGAAGAAGAAGAAGAAGAAGAAGAAGAAGAAGAAGAAGAGAAGGGGACTGAATAACTCTTGAAGGAGAGCAAGGGCAGGTCTTGAGTTCCCGAAGGAGGAGCAGGGGAAGACAGCTGGACTCTCCAAGAAGGAAGGGAAGGAGGAGGGAAAGAGGATCTCTGGACTCTTGAAGGAGGCGAGAAGAGTTTGAAATCTCTTGGAAGAAAGGGATGCCGGTCTAGAATCCCGCTTTGGGTCGGAGGGAAGGGGGGGGTTGGAATCCGTGTGGAAGGGGGCGGGGAAGGGAAGTAGGTCTAGAATCGAGGGAAGGGAAACAGGTCTAGAATCTGAAGAAGGGGGGGGGAAATAGGTCTAGAATCTGAAGGAAGGAGGGAAAAACAGGCCTAATCTGAGAGGAGGAAAAACTGGTCTAGATTCCGAGAGGAGAGAAAATAGGGCTAGAATCTGAGAGGAGGAGGGAAAAATAGGCCTAGAATCTGAGAGAAGGGGGGGGAAATGGGTCTAGAATCTGAGAGGAGGAGGGAAAAATAGGTATAGAATCCGAGAGAAGGAGGGAAAATACGTCTAGAAAACGAGAGAAGGAAGGAAAATAGGTCTAGAATCTGAGAGGAGGAAAAAATGGGTCTAGAAGACGTGAGAAGGAGAGAAAAATAGGCCTAGAATCTGAAGGAAGGGGGGGATAGGCCTAGAATCTGAGAGGAGGGAAAAATAGGTCTTGAATCTGAAGGAAGGATGGAAAATATGCCTAGAATCCAAGGGAAGGAGGGTAAAATGGGCCTAGAATCCGAGAGGAGGGAAAAATTAGTCTAGAATCTGAAGGAAGGAGGGGAAATAGGCCTAGAATCTGGGAGAAGGGAAAATAGGTCTAGAATCCGAGAGAAGGAGAGAAAATAGGTCTAGAATCTGAAGGAAGGAGAGGAAAGTAGACCTAGAATCCGAAGGGAAGGGAGGAAAATTGACCTAGAATCCGAGGGTAATTAATAATTAAATTAATTAATTAATTAAATTAAATTGATAAAATAAAATTAAAAGGTAATTAGGTCTAGAATCCGAGAGGAGGGAAAATAGGTCTAGAATCCGAGAGAAGGAAGGAAAATAGGCCTAGAATCCGAGGGGAAGAGAGGAAAATAAGCCTAGAATCCGAGAGAAAGGGTAATTAGGTCTAGATTCCGAGAGAAAGGAAGGAAAGAGGAAAATAGGTCTAGAATCCGAGAGGAGAGAAAATGGGTCTAGAATCCGAGAGAAGGAGGGAAAAACTGGTCTAGATTCCGAGAGAAAGGGAAATTAGGTCTAGAATCCGAGCGGAGAGAAAATGGGGCTATAATCTGAGAGAAGGGGGGAAATCGGTCTAGAATCTTGGAGGAGGGAAAATTAGGTCTAGAATCTGAAGGCAGGAGAGGAAACGTAGGTCTAGAATCTGGGAGAAGAGGAGGAAAATATGTCTAGAATTTGAAGGAAGGAGAAAATAACTGGTCTAGAATCTGAAAAAGGAGGAAAAATAGGTCTAGAATCCGAGAGGAGGGAAATTAGTCTAGAATCCGATCGAGGAAACGGGCCAGAGACAAAGACGTCCAGAATCCGAGCGGGAGGAGGAGAGGAGGGAGGAGGAGAGGAGGAGGAGAGGAAGGAGGGTCTAGAATCCCCGAGAAACGCCGCGGTTCTCTCCACCTCCTCCTTCTCCCTTGCCAGGAGGGTCTAGGGTCTAGGGGGGGGAGAGGGGGAGAGGGGAGGGGAGGGGAAGGGGAAGGGGGCGGGAGCTAGCCCGGGGACCCGAACCTTTTTGTGAGATCGTGGCTTTTTGTTTGTTGTCTTCGTGTGTTTTTGTTTGTCCTTGTTTGTTTGTTTCACTGGGGAGGTCGAAATGAAACACACACACACACACACACACACACACACACACAGAGAGAGAGAGAGAGAGAGAGAGAGAGAGAGAGAGAGAGAGAGAGAGAGAGAGAGAAGAGAGAGAGAGAGAGAGAGAGGAGAGAGAGAGAGAGGGAGGAGGGAAAACAAGAAGGGGAAAGCAAAGCAAGAAACCAAACAAGCGAAAGAAATGGAGAGGGAGACAGACAAACAGACCAAAAGAGAGAGAGAGAGAGAGAGAGAGAGAGAGAGAGAGAGAGAGAGAGAGAGAGAGAGAGAGAGAGAGAGAGAGAGAGAGAGAGAGAGAGACTGATATCGAGACCGAGAGACCGACAGCGAAGGCGCGAGCAAAAGAGAGAATGAGCGAGAGAGCGAGAAAGAAAAGAGAAAGAACCAGAAGATAAAAAATGAGAAAGAGAGAAAAAGCGAGAAAGAGCCAGAAAGAGAACGAAAAAAGAGAGAGAGCGAGAGAGCGAGAAAGAAAAAGAGAAAGAACCAGAAAGATAAAAAAGTGAGAAAGAGAATGAGAAAGAGCCAGAAGAGAACGATAGAAAGAGAAAGAGCGAAGAGCGAGAAAAGAAAAAAAAAGTGAGAAGAGCCAGAAAGAGAGCGAGAAAGAGAAAAAAGTGGAGAAGAGGGAAAGAAAAAGAGCCAGAAAGAGAACGAGAAAGAGAGAGAGAGAGAGCGAGAGAGCGAGGGCGCAGGCCGGCCGCGAGTGCATTGCTCGTGTCCTGTTTTGGGCTCAGGTGCTGGCGCTGAGTGGGCGGCCGTGATTGTGCTTCGAGATTTCCGAGGCGGCCGGGGATCAGCTGGCTGGCAGGTGGTGGGTGGGGCCCTGGACGCCCGTGATGCAAGGGCGGCCGCCGCTTCTTCTTTTCCTCATTTGGACCCCCCCATTTTCTTGTCTTTTCTTTTTTTTTATTTATTTATTTATTATTTATTTATTGTTGTTGTTTTGTTTTTTTGTTTGTTTGTTTTTGTTTTTGGTTTTCGCGTCGGGGATGTTTGGTGTTTTGTGTGTAAAGGGAGGGTGTAAGAAGGAGAGAGAGAGGGGAGAGGAGGAGGAGGAGGAGATGGAGGAGCAGGAGAGAGGTGGAGGAAGAGAAGAGAGAGGTGGAGGAGGAGAAGAGAGAGATGGAGGCTGAGAAGGGAAAGGAATTCAGAGGAGAGAGAGATGGAGGAAGGGGAGATAATGATAGGCAGAGGGGAGAGATGAAGAGACGAAAGGAGGTAGAGGAGGAGGAGAGAGAAGAATGATGAGAGCGAAGGAGGAAGAATGCTGAGGAGAGCGAAGGAGGAAGAAGGAAAAAATAGAAGAGAAAAGGCGGAAAAAAGGAAAAAGGAGGAGAGAGAGAAGAGAGACAGAGACAGAGACAGAGATAGGGAGAAGAGAGAAGAGAAGAGAGGAAAGGGAGGTCTTGATGACGACATATATAGGCAAGGCGGAGACAGGCGAGCGGGGCCCCCTTCGCGGCGCGGAGGGGAGGGGAGGGGAGGGTGACGCACGCACGCCCAATGACACCGTGGGCTTAGGTCGCGGGCAGGAAATTCAGGTGCGAGGCCGCCCGCCAGGTGTGCGCGCCGCCCGGGCTGGGTGGGGGGAGG